CCCGGAGCCTTTCAGCTTTGTTTTCAAGAGATGTGCCTCAGTTCCCGTCCCGCGCAGATCCATTCTTTTTTCAAAGCCTGAATGATCAGCTATAACTGTTGCTTGCCATATTTTTCTTAAGATTTTTGAAGCATAATGTGTCCTTTGATTACAGTTTCTGTTGTTCTCCTTTCAACTGATAATTTATAAAAGAGGGCAAAAAGCTTTTGACCTGCATGTCTTTCTCTAACTCTGACTGTTTGTGTTCATACCTTTTGTTTTCATTTCACTATCTCTAAAAGGAGACATTTATAGTCCCTTGATTTTTTTAAAACATATTTCTTTCTCAGTCATTCTCCTTGAATCATTTGTACATTACAATATGTGACATCACTATTTCTCCTCTGGTTTTTTGTTCACTTTCATAGCTTTTAAAGCATTTTTTTAATTTAGTCACCAAGAGGTTACAAACTTATTCACGATTCCAGGCATACAACGTTTCAACATATATTCCTTCACTAGAATCCACTTGCCTCCACCAATGGCCCCCAACCCCACTTGCCTCCCACCCACCAATCTGCTTCTACAAGAGGCTATATAACACATATACAAATCAGGAAAGAGAGAAAACAAAAGACTTGTAGTAGGAAGAAGAGAGAATAAATGAGGATAAGGAATGGAGATTCGGAAACTTAAGTGGAATAAATTGCTAAACTTAACCTAAACATTCTTGCTTTAATGCTGTACATGAAATTCCCTTGCCAGATTAATCTACAAAGACATAGGTTTTCCCAGGGTCCTGTACAAGCTCCTATGACCTCACTGGCAGCCCTTCAGGTTAGAAGCTTCATTAACTCATACTTATTGAGCCTGCTCAGATAGAATCTCCAATAGAAGGGACTGGAGCAATAGCACAGCGGGTAGGGCATTTTCCTTGCATGTGGCCGACCCGGGTTCAATTCCCGGCATCCCCTATGGTCCCCCGTGCACCGCGGAAGTAACCCCTGTGCATCACCGGGTGTGACCCAAAGAACTAAATAAAGAAATAAATACATAAAAAGAATCTCCAATAGAGATTACTCTTATAGGTAAAGATCATTATAGACTTGTTGCAAGGATAAAAAATGAGATAACAGATGGAAATATAATAAAAAAACAATATACAAATGCTTGGTATTCTTTTTCTAAGCGCTCAAGAGCACTGTCAGTGGTTAAATATATCCAATAGTATCTTCATAGAATTTCAGAGCATATTTTAAATAACTGTGTCTAAAGAAAGTCAATTCCACCTACAGAATAATGAAAATGAAATCACCAGAAGGGGAAAAATATAGAATCAGCTAAACTGTGTATTTCTGGGGAGTGATTGTATTTAACAATTTAAGAAAACTCTTCATTTTCCTAAATGCCCTTAATTTATAAGATTTTTTCTTTTTAAAGTAATTTTTATTTAATCAAGAAACATAACTTATAGTTACTCATAGTTGAGTTTTAGGCATATAATATTTCAACACCAATCCCACCACCATTGTCAATTTTCCTCCACCAGTGTTCCCATACTCGTACACTCTCCACTCCCTTACCCACCCCACCCCCAACCTGTCCCCTTGGCAAGCATATTATAAAGTTCAGTGGTTGCAGTTTAGATGTGGTTTTCAGTGTAGTGGAGTCTGTGTTTTGGATATATAACTATACACTCTCCCACATCTCTAGTATAACTAAAACCCTGACCCCTGTTTCCCCTTTATTCCCTTTTTCATTCTCCCTCCCCTTTTATTCATTTTTTCTCTGTCCTTCTCCCTCTACTCAGGGGTAGGCATCCTCTCTTTACTAAATAACACTATTAGATTTTTTTTCTACAGGTACCCTCTGATGTCTGGATACCTTACAAATGAATTCTCATTAATCCGCCTTCTCTGGCCAATCTTCCTTTGGGACCCATTTGCTGGCTCCATAGTCTTTTGTCCATGTGGTTGCTGGCTCAACCTCAAGGACTTCTTATCTCTAGAGCCACCCCAATATAGGCAAATAATAGAAAATAATAGAGTGGAAGAAGATAGGGACTGGCAGACCTAAGGATGGCCCAGACAGACAAGGACCAAATAGTGGGAGTAAAGGGAGAATGGCAACGGAAAGTAGGCAAGAATTACAAAGAAATTACAAAGAAACAGAAAGGAGGAAACACAGGGGGAAGAGAAGGAGAGACAATCAAATCTTTGTAAGGTGGAGAGAAAGTTCACAGGAGCACTATTCATTATAATGACCAAGCTAGTGGTGTTGGGAAAAAGGACTGGTGTTCTCAGCAGCCTTGTGACTGACTCGGGCTGAGCCTCATGCATGAGTGAAATCCCATGGAACCCAGGTAATGCAGAACTTTGTGACCTCAGACTTTGGGCTCAATGGGACCCAGAAGCAGAGATCCCCTGTCTGCATCTCTCAGTCTTCAGCGACCCAGGGATCACACCCATAAGCCACCTCCTGCTGGCGCCAGATCATCTCATCATTGGCCACCATCCAGACCATACTACCACTTCTCCTGGAAGGGAGCATAACATGAGGCCCCCATAGCCATGCCACCAGACTCCGCTCCAGGCTGTTTCACCTGGAGTGCCCCAGAGGGAGGTGGGTGAGAGCCCTCCCCACCTCAAGGTACCCAGCCCCAGCAGCCGAAATCCTCCACAACCCAACAGCCGCCACGCTCAAGACTGCTCCTCACATGCTCAGGCCGAGGCTCACATGAGTGAACATATTCCTGGTCCATCATAAGACACTCCCTACCCATTATTCATAATTACCATATTTGATGGGGTTCAGACAGTAGGCAACAAATCATAGAGGAAAATGCATATATATGCATATATACATATTTTCAGATATATATACCAAAGTTCACATCACCCAAACTTTAACAACATGTTAGTGATATCTTACAGAATGTCTTAATGGCTCCTGCCAATCTAGAGCAATCTTCACACTGTTTCCTATATGAACACTTTTTTGTAAGCATGTTAATCAGTTCTTCATAACAGACAATATAAAATACATTATTTTGGTTGTGTTTTAGGACAAGGATTGGAGTTTGGGATGAATACATCCCCATTTTGGTGGTGGGAAGGTGTAATGGTGGTGGGATTGGTGCTTGAATATTAAATGTAATCAAGCATTGTGAACTAACTTATAAAATAAAAAATTTAAATACAAATCTTATAAAGTTATCTGTTAATTTATGGTAAGGTAAAGGTAAAGGTAAAGGCCCTCCCGTTGATCGTCGATTTGCTCGAGCGGGCCCAGTAACGTCTCCATTGGAGACTTTGTTGTTACTGTGTCTGGCATATCGAATACTCTCGGTAGCTTGCCGGGCTCTCCGAGAGGGGCGGAGGAATCGAACTCGGGTCGGCCATGTTGACCGCTTGTAAGGCGAACGCCCTACCCGCTGTGCTATCGCTCCAGCCCTGAGCGATATTTATGGTAAATAACAGTAAAAGTGCACATGACCCCATTATATTATAATTGCACTATTGAAAACAATGTGGATGGACATTTCTCAAAAAATGGGAATTGGGGGTTCATTTAATCCAGCAATTCCATTTATTGGAATATATCCCAAAGGCCCAAAAACTAAATGGAGAAAAGACATTTGCACCCCTATGTTCCTTGAAACCCTATCCGCAATAACCAAAATCTAAAAACAACCCTAACGTCCAAGAATAGATGACTGGATAAAAAAAAAACACGGTATGTCTAGACAATGGAATATTACTCAGACATAAGAAAAGATAAACTCATGCAATTTTCTGCTAATTGGATGGATTGGGAGAGTATCATGCTGAGTGAAGTTTGTCGGAGAGAAACTGACACAGAATAATCTCTCTCATGTACAGGATATAAACATATCAGTGAACTAACACATACCCCAAAACAAAGGAAAAAAGAAAATGAAAACTGATATTCACTAAGAAACATGCCACTTGGGGGTGGGAGTGAGGAATAGGACAGGAAGGCAGCAACAACTACGAACTATGGTGTAGGAAAGTGTTCAACTGAGAGGAGGAGGTGGTGCTGAGAGGTGGTTAAATATTATGCATGAAATCCTGTCAGTAACAGTACTATAAACTACAGAGCAAAAAATTATAGAGACAGACTAATAGATGGGAAGCAAATGGAGGAGAGGCATTGGTCGAAGGAAATGGACACTGGTAAAGGAATTGGTGTTGAATCATTGCATGCCTGAAACCCACTCATGAATAACTTTGTAGTTTCACAGTGATGAAATAAAATAAAAGTGTTTAAATAACAATAGGGAATGACTAAGAATTGAACTGTCATTCTCTGCTCCTGTCATGAATTTACCCTATTTTCCAGCTAGAGTGCATTAGACTTCATACCAGTTCCACAACCATTTGATTTCAGGACTCACTAAATTAATGGGGTCCTGCCCCTAAATTGTTGAATTCTGTGTTTGAACATTTTATCTCTGTAAAAGATTAAATGCCTCCAAAGACTGAGTGTGAACATTCTTCTTCCTATAAAAGCTGTTCTTTTTAAGTTTTTATTATAGCTTAGGTAATATGCTTACAATAGTGTTGAAGTTTATGGTATTGATGCACAAAGTTATGCACCTCCCCCCCAGCAAAGAACCCATGACCTTCCACCATTGTCACATGTTACCTCTGATCTGGTTTTCACTCCCTCCAGTGTTTGTTAATCAGTTTTGTAATACAAAGCCAAGACTTATCATTGTTTGATACTGTCTATTCTCTTGCTCTGTCTCTCTGTATCCCACACATGAGATGTATCACACAGTAAAAGACTATTTATTTTACTATTGTCTTGTTACAACATTCAGAAAAACAGGTTGGGAGTGTGTGATAGTTGAGAGTTAAACTTGACAATAACTTGACTTTTGACATAGGGCTCTCTCTGACTTGCAGTATCTTGGGGATCCTTTCTGTAAATGTTACGGAAAACAAACACTTTCAATTTCCCGTGACTTAATTTTTCATTTTCTTTTTTTAAAACAGGACCAGTTAAAAACAAGAAAAAGGGTAAGTTGAATTTCTAATTTTATACCATTGTTCTCATGTCGTTTCTCAAATTAAAAGAAAAAGTTGATGGATTTTATATTATGTTATTTCAATGCTGGATTATAGTGGTTTCCAAAATAAAGGAAATCTACTTCCTTCAATGAAGGCCCATGAAAGGCAGAGTTGTTTCTCTAGCCTAAAATACCAGCTGATTTGTATTTTCATGCTCCTACTTCATATAATTTCATTTAAAATTAAATTTATTTTCCCTTCATTCTTCCTCACCCTTACTCTACCCTTATCCTTTGTTCTGTTTTTGGCCTTTATAAAATCAAAAATCATGTACAGATGAAGTCCTGAGATGGCTCATAAAGGCTAAGTATATTGCTACTTAAGAGCTCAGTACCCTATTACTTTACCTAAAAGCTATTTTGAATCTGTTTTTCAGATAAAAAAAATATTTCTTGCTTTAAGCTTTCAATATCATTTTCTCTGTGACAGAAAACTAAGCTGGAATATTAACCTGATTTTTTAGTCTTTTCTAAGAAACTTCTAGTTGAGTGGTTCTATTGCGCCAGTGTTGGGTCAGAAAGTCCCCATTATAGTTGTAATGACCCAAGGGCTTTTATAAGTGCTTACTTATTTGAAGAGAAGAATGCAGAGAGAGATCATGTTCAAAAAGACAGGGCCGGGCAGTATATTCCACTCCTTAAAACTGAAAGAACAAGTTGTTTCTGTGTTCTAACCTGGAAGGAAAAGAGAAAAATTAACTATTTTTTGTGAAAATGCTTGAAATGAATTTATTCTGTCTATTTAGACTTTTGTACCTTATAGTCAATCTCAGACTAGGTCAAAAGACTATATAGGCCACCACCAGTCACTTCCCTGTGCATGAGAGTTTATTTTAGATATCATGATAAAAATATCAAAAACAAACATCATTTTTGTAAAGGAGCTGAGGAAACTATGGCCTTCTGAGGGTTGAACAAAGTTGAAAGCATCCAGAAAGCTGGAGTCAATGAGGAAGACTTTCGCTGTGCGAATTCATTCACTGTGCGAATTCATTCTATCATTTAACAAAGTAATTTGGACTTTGGGGAGTGAGAGCAGGGTGTTTGGGTCACACCCAGAAGTGCTCAGTGCTTAGAGTGACCCATGGCAGTGTTTGGGGGATCATATGTTTTGCTGGGGATTAAACTAGGATCAACTCCATGCAAGGCCTTACCTTCGTTAGCCCATAAGAAAGTAAATTGGACTTTCAAGCATGGAAGAGATTTTTGTTTTATTGGTTGGTTTTTGGTTGGTTTTTGTTTGTATGTTTTGTTTGTTGGGGTTTTTTTGTTTGTTTGTTTGGTTTGGAGTCACATCCATCAGTGCTCAGGAGCTATTCTTGAAGCTGTGCTTTGGTAGTGTTCAGGGGACTATACATGGTGCCAAGGATCAAACCAGAGTCAACCAAAGTAGCTTCATGCAAGGCAAGTGAATTACCTCTTACATTATGTCTCTAGCCCTTAAGCATGTAGATATTTTAACTCTTGTCACATACATTTAAAATAAATTTTGACAAATAATTTGAACCTAAGAAATTCACGTGATTTTTGACAAGGCCACTGTCTGCTCCTAATGCAAGGGTTGACTTTCTTTCTTAATAGATGGGTTTGAAAATGCTTTCTCATTTTTTGCTATTTATTTCAGGCATACATTATTCCAACACCAAAACTACCACCAGTGTAAACTACCCTTCACTATTGTCCTAAGTTTCCATCCAAGCCCCAAGCCTGCCTTCTTACCAGTACATTTTTTGCTTTTATTTTTGCAGGTTGGGCCTCATGCTTACAGTGTTGTTGGCTATGTGCTTTATATGTATTCATATTTGTTACCTGCCTACCACCTTTATTCCTGAGACCCCTACTCCTGACCCTTTACATCCTGCTTACTTCTTCTAATGTCCCTCTTCTATTTCTTTCCTTCCCTGTCCTTCCTTCTTGAAATTAATTGCTAATTACAGACACTAGGGATTTATCCTTTACACTCATTCACTAGACAGTGAATAAATATCTATGTTTTCTAGAAATAGAGATACAGAAATGGGAAAAATGATTTCTGTCCTCAGAAGTTCCCTATCATCATTTAAATTGTGGAAATACATTCAAATAATTATAGTAAATTATAAAATAATGCAGTCATCAAAATATGAACAGGGCATAAATGATCACAGAAAAGGAACAAGTAAGTTCTCCCTGAGTAGTGCCCTGCCAACAGAGGCAGGGTGGGGTGGGGGAATGGGGGATGGGAGGGATACTGGGATTAGTGGTGGTGGAGAATGGGCACTGGTAGAGGGATAGGTACTTAATCATTGTATAACTGAAACCCAAGCACAAAAATGTGTAAGTCTACAACTGTACCTCATGGTGTTTCACTAATAAAATTTTTTAAAAAGTTCTCTCTGAGTAAGGAAATATATCACAGAGAAAGCATTATTGAACCTGAATCTTGAAATATGAGAAAATAAAGAGAGGGGGCCAGAGCGATAGTACAGCGGGTAGGGCATTTTCCTTGCACGTGGCCAATCTGGGTTTGATTCCTGGCATCCCATATGGTCCCCCAAGCACTGCCAGGAGTAATTCCTGAGTGCAAAGCTAGGACTAACCCCTGAGCATCTCTGTGTGTGACCCCCCCAAAATAAAAGAAAAGAAAAAGAGAAAAGGATATTCCAGAAAAGAAAATATCATAATCAAATCTCTCAAACGAATGAAAAAGCATGACATGTTTGGAGCAACAGTAAGTAGGCTAGTCACCAAAGAATAGAGCATATATGTGATGTGAGCAATACCCAGATGCAGTGTTATCTATCCAATGAGTGAGCACTGAGAGAACATTCTGCTATAAGAAATGGAAGGCGATTGTCAAAGCTAAAATATCTGGAATTACAACTCTGAGATTTCAGTGCCTCTGGCAGGAATTTAGATCACTGCTTTAGAATGCTGCCTTCAGTATAGAACATTATTGGGAGGAGAATGCACATAGGCCTTAAACATTTACTTCAGCTGAAAGTTATTTTGAAGCTATTTAATATAGATTTCCTTGGACACAGTGAATAGGCACATGCCTGAAAAGGTAAATTGAGTTGATCATTTAATTTCCATCCTTTAATGGAATTTTTCCTCTCCCACAACTAAATCATCCAAGCGTATTCTCATTTTCTCTCTATCATATATATATAGAGAGATGTGTATGTATATATATAAAACATTTTTCACTTTTACTTATGCTTTCAACAACATGGCCTTAGTTAGAGGTTAATAAAATGCACATTTTTAAACTTTAGCTTTGAAAAAATGGATATTCATTCATTTAATCATTCATAGTGGACTGTTGTAGAGTGAGTGTACCCCCTTGCATGTATGAGGCCCTGGATTCGATTCCTTGAATTGATAAATAAAAGTACAAAATTTTTCTACATACAAAAAGTATCTGGATTTAAAGACTATACAACTTTCTACGTACAGATGTTTCTATGCTTTCATATTAATGAAGTACTCTGTTAAAGTGAGGACATCAGAGAAGGAATTCAGTCCTGTAAAGTCATGGTCTTGATCCAGGGGTAATTTGTACATGCTCCTCTTGGGCCAACCTTACGGAACTATGCAAGGGTGAGAAGCACAATTGCCTAAACCTTGCTGCAAAGCAGCAGAGAGGACCAGCTGCAGAACTAGATCACAGCAGGAGCTTTTCCCATAATGCCTTTAACATTTTCATAAGTGAACATTCTCTGTTTATACAACCATTGTTCTCTTTGACTAGAGGATTTTCTGGATGTAATTCTTCCAAAATTACGTTAGCTGTCACAGGAGACATGAAATCTTAACACTGAAGTTTGTGCTATCTGTGGAACACCCTCAGTTTAAAAATCACCGTTAAACCTGGAAACACTTTGAGATAGCACAACCATATATACACCATGCCTTTTGTCTCTGATACTCAGAGAACTAATAAGGGAAAAGTAAACCATAAAACCAGGCTATAGAAGTTTCCTAGCTGCCAGGTATAAATTAGTCCCCCTTATGGAACCTCAGCATTGAGAGAAAACTTGGGGAAATCATCAAGACCAAGCTCCTCATGTCATTGATGAGAAACTAAGGCCAACAAGAAGAGATTTGCCCACTATGAGTGTATGGCAAGCTGGGGCTTACAGCCTTATCGCCTAACTACATATTCTGTGTTCTTTCCACTACACCAGCTGGAAATGAAACATGGGTATTAAATAAGCCTGACTTGGAAGCTGCCCAAATCTGAAGGGAGATGGCGTTCCTGTTCAGCGTCTTAAAATTGGCTAGCTTTAGAAGATGAGCAGATTCAATCTTTTGTCGCTAAGTACAGGGGAAATGCTAAAGTTCCTAACTCAAGGCTACAAGGACTCTGCCTGAGAAAGCTGTTCTCTGAACCTCCTTCCTCCCTTTCTTCCTTCCAGAAGCGACCCCATAATGACCCTGTTGTTTCATTTCAAATACAGATGTGGTTAGACATGAACAGCTGCCCTTTCTGTTGGTGTTACCATGGGGGTTATATTTTATTTTTAATTTTTATTAGTGAGACACCATGAGGTACAGTTGTAGACTTACAAATTTTGTGCTTGGGTTTCAATTACACAAAGATCAAATACCCATCCCTCCACCAGTGCCCATTTCCCACCACCACGGATCCCAGTATAACTCCCACCCCCCACCCCCTCCATCCCACACTGCCTCTGTGGCAGGGCATTCCCTTTTGTTTTCTCTCTCCTTTTTGGTGTTGTGGTTTGCAAAAGAGGCATTGAGTGGCAATCATGTTTGGTCTATAGTCTACTTTCAGCATGCATCTCCCATCCTGGCAGGATCCTCCCAACACCCTTTATTTGGTGCTCCCTTCTCTATCTGAGCTGCCTTTTCCCCTAGCATGTGTGGCTGTCCTCCAAGCCATGGAGCAAAATTATCGGTACTAATCTCGGCCATTCTTGGGTGTTAGTCTCCTATTTTTTTACTTTATGTTCCCCAGATGAATGCAATCTTTCTATGTCTATCCCTCTCTTTCTGACTCATTTCGCTTAACATGATACTTTCCATGTAGTACCACTTATATGTAAATTTCATGACTTCATCTTTTCTAACCGCTACAGAGTACTCCATTGTGTAAATGTACCAAAGTTTCTTTAACCAGTCATCTGTTCTCGGGCACTCAGCTTTTTTCCAGATTCTGGGGGGTTGTATTTTTTTAACATGAATTATTCTTAAATGAGGACCTGATAAATTAGCACAGGATTCTCCCACTGTCAGGAAGCAGAGTCACAATCTGTAGGTGCTTGAGACTTCAGAGCATTGTATTTAAAATTAAAAGTGTATTACAGGAAAAGACACTGTCATTGAGTCTGGTAAAAAGGATTACATTCCTGGGACTTCCACAGCATTGTGAGAAGTTAGTGAAAGAATGAGGCAGACAGCAACCTATGACTACCTACTGTGTTTGAAGACCACAATTGTGACTCAATTAACATAATTTCACCCAGGTAGGAATACTGAAACAACTAGAATATGAAATAGGAAGGCCAAACTGTTCTGGAAAATTAGTGAGAAATAAAGTAAGAGATGGTAGTCTTCATAATTAATACCTTGGTCAGGGAGAGAGCCAAGTAGAATACATGTCTAGCTCATGCATTTTCTGGCACTGCATTGCCCCCTCTTACTCTCCTTCCTTCCTCTTTCCATGCCTATCTTAAATTTCTTCCAATTCTGAGACTAGACTCTAGACCGAACATGTTGCCATTCGATGCCTCTTTTGCAGGCCACAGCACTCAAAAGGAGAGAGAGAGAGAACAAAAGGGAGTGTCATGCCACAAGAGACAGGGTGGGATGGGGGGATAACGGGGGTAGGAGGGATACTGGGATCAGTGGTGGTGGGAAAATGGCACTGGTGGAGGGATGGGTACTCAATCATTGTACAATGGAAACCCAAGCACAAAAATTTGTAAGTCTACAACTGTACCTCATGGTGTTTCATTAATAAAAAATTTTTTAAAAAATTCTTACAATTCCTCATTCCCAGCTATTATCATATACACCAACTCCCCATTTCCTCTATATCCTTGCTCCTGTAACAAACTTTCCTGTAGATGATGATATCTCTAAAGTCAGGCTGTCCTCTTAGCTTCCTCTTATAATCCACATCAGTTCTTCAGGGACTGTAGAGATAGTTCAGGGATAAGGCATTTGCTTTGTATGCCACTGACCCCAATTCAAACCCCAGCATTAGATATAGTCCCTAAGCATTGTCAGGAGTAGCCTTTGAACACTACCTGGCATGACCAATAAGTAGCAAAAATAAAACCCTGTAGCACTTAGTTAGTTTTTTAATGGCCAGAGAGCTAGCACAGGATATAAGACACTTGCCCTACATGCCACCACCTAGGTCTGATCCCTGGCATCAGTTATGCTCCCCTGAGCATTATTTACCAGTGGCCACTCATTATTAAGCACAGAGCTAAAAGTAGCCCTACAGGGCTACTACTTTTAGTACTACTTTTAGTACTACAAGGTGTGGTCAAAAAAATACGTCAAGTTCACCAAACTGTGTAGTAAGCATAAAATTAATAATTAATCCAAAAATAAATACTGTCCAACAGAAGATTCAGGTGATGGTGATGGCACTGGAGCTCAGGAAATAATAACTAGTAGGTCTAGCAAAGTGCAGAATTCAGAAAAGTAGCACCAAGCAAACCTTAGGTCCAACTACTTGGTAATTTTGATTCTTTGGAGTCAGCTGAAATGTAACCTCTTTTAAAAGTCTTCTCCAACCTCTTCAGCATTTTGCCCTTACCACTAAGATTAGCCTATGATGGTGTCTCTTTCCACGCTTGAATAAACCTGGGGGGAGGTATTTATTCCCATATCTTCAAATCCAACTCTGATTATTCATGAAGGCAGATGTGTGATAAGGTGTCCAACTCTTTAACAATAAAAATTCCCAGAGTTTTGCTCTTTGATTCCTTTCTATTAATTTTATTCACAGAACTGACTAAGAATATAAGAATAAAAGAAGACATATTGATTCCTTTTCTCTGCTGTTGTCATAGTAACTTGGTACTTGTTATACTATTGCTTTGTGTCTGTGGAACTTTAACAATTTCTCAGTCAATAACTTCAATCATAACACCAAACCTTCTTTTTCAGGAAAAAAGGCAGGACCTCCTGGGCCCAATGGCCCCCCAGGACCTCCAGGACCTCCAGGACCCCAAGGACCCCCAGGGATTCCAGGGATTCCTGGGATTCCAGGGACAACTGTAATGGGACCTCCTGGCCCTCCAGGTCCTCCTGGACCTCAAGGACCCCCTGGTCTCCAAGGACCGTCTGGTGAGTCCCTTTGTCTGTTTAGAGCCAGGCTCCACACTAGTACTTTAAGTAGGGCAGAAGTGATGCTGACAGAAGTTCTGGGTGATGGTGACGGCACTGGAGCCCAATAAACAATAACTAGTAGGTCTAGCAAAATGCAGAACTAGAAATTAAAGAAGACAGTGGGCCATATCTGTTCTAACTTCTTGTTGGAATTAACCTGTCATGGATAGGCCATCTGTTGTTGCCCTGTCTCACCCTTCCATCAGAAGTTATTTCTTTTTCTTTACTGAATCACCGTGAGATAGTTACAAAGCTTTCGTGTTTGAGTTTCAGTCATACAATGATCAAATACCCAACCCTCCATCAGGGCACATCTTCCACCCCCAATGTCCTCAGTATCCCCAAACCTACACCTCCCCCTGCCTTTATGGCAGACAATCTCCCCATAATCTTTTTTGTATTGCTTGTTATAAATAGCAAAATATGTTGTGCAGCTGCGAGAGTGGCCATGCACTCCTGGAGTTCTAAAATTTTAGATAATTAGGATCTGGAGAAATCTCTGCAGCTAGCTGATCGGTTCAGAGATTCTTTTGTGTATTTCTGGATCATGGCCATTAAGGAGCTAAAATAGCAGCCAGAGGCAGTTTGTGGGCATAACCTCCAGGGTCTCATGGGGATGGCGGGGGATGAGAAGGACCAACTGATCCCCTATCACTTGAGGCCTGGAGTTTGCCATCATTGAACCTGCATGTCTGCACTTCTCATTGGGTTCTGGAAGTTGACAACTGCCAGGGTTTTTAGGGAGGGGTGGAGGGATGATGCCTGCTGCTGACTGAGGCACCCCAGTAAAGTTGACCTGGCTTAAAGTCCAGAGGCATCTCTGCAGTGAGATATTTGGTTCAGAGATTCTTTTCTTTGTCTCCAGAAGTAATTTCTGACTCTAGATACCCCTAAAATGGGCCATAGGAGTCAAAGACATAAAAAGACCTGAAGATTGACTAGACTTCCTGTAATCCTGTCAACCTGTTTACTGGACATGAAATTGGACTGCTCCTATTCTCAACTCTACATGTTGATCACTCATGACTAACTCATGACTAAAGCTCTGAGGATATGTACATATACTAGAGACTAAAGACATTTTGGAAAGCTGGCGGGTTGTTGGATAAAATGGGAGTTAATTGACTCCAAAATAATATTTACTCCTGGGAATTCATATTTACTTGACTTAATCTTCAATTACCCTTAGTTCCTAGCACTCCAAGAGCAGGGTCCCAACCAGGACCATGGACCCAGGGCAAGCTGTGAGCTACCCTGGCATCGAAATGAGCCAGGCCAACTGCCATAATACTTAACTATAATTTAAGAGCACAGTCATGAATAAACTCTCTAATGACCCAAAAGAGGTAAATGAATAAGGATCCTACTGGGGTTAGGAAGACTAACGTGACCTAAGAACTGTGGTTTGGAATACATAGTGAGATGTCTTCAGGAAGAACCAAACTTTAAGCTTGATATTTCTCTTACTGTGCTCATACAAAATGACATTGCTAGAAATATTATAAGTACATTTACTGTACAACTCAATACTATTCAGTACTATGGGCTGAAGTGATAGCACAGAGGGTAAGGTGTTTGCTTTTCACACAGCCGACCCGGGTTCCATTCCTCCGTCCCTCTCGGGGAGCTCGGCAAGCTACTGAGAGTATTCCACCCACACAGCAGAGCCTGGAAAGCTGTCTGTGGCATATTCGATATGCCAAAAACAGTAACAACAAATCACAATGGAAACGTTCCTGGTGCCTGCTTGAGCAAATCGATGAACAATGGGAGGACAGTGCTAGATGTTGATGTTGTATTGGAAGTATGCTATTGTTAGGAAAGAAGGCATCTGGGCAAAAATGATAATCCCTAAAGCAGTTTCATCGAGTTTTAACAAATAACTGATGATGATCAAACAATAGAAACTTATAATTCAGACTGTAAAAGAAGCAAACCTTAGGACCAAGACCCACCCTGTGAAGAAAACAAGTGTTTCTTCAGTAGATACTAACTCCCACCACATAGTCTATTCAAACAGTAAACTCTTTCACCATTCCCCTTGGGCCCAGAAGTTTGTGAAAAAAGGTATAAATGCAGATCATAATCTATCTACCTGATTGGAGTTGACAGGAGTTAAACAGTGTAGGCTTGGGTCAGTTGCTCTTCTCTTCTCCTGTGCCTTTCTTCTATCTTGGTATTTGTTTCTTAAAAGTAATGTATTCTCGGGGGGGGGGGGGGGCTGTAGATAGCACAGCAAGTAGGGCATTTGCCTTGCACGCGGCCGACCCGGGTTCGATTCCCAGCAATCCATATGGTCCCCTGAGCACCACCAGGAGTAATTCCTGAGTGCAGAGCCAGGAGTAACTCCTGTGCATCGCCTGGTATGACCCAAAAAGCAAATGAAAAAAATAAGTAATGGATTCTCAGTGGCCGATTCTCTAGGTCCATGAATTCTGTATCAAGACCAAAATTCATTGACTCATAATTCAAACAGGGCTATAAAAAACAGGGTTTTACTGTTTCCACAAGAGCTATGGTTGGTTTTTTTATCCAGTGTTCCACAAATACTACCTGAGCACATAGAAAACTTACTATCTATGCACTTTACTGTCTGCATCTAGAAATAATGAAAAAATTTCTCATGGAATTTATTTTCTAGACATAAATCTCCTTTAATAGAGGCCATTAATGTAGCTAAGTATTTATAAAGGATAATATGTTCAGGCCCCAGGGATAACTTGGTGCCTGCCTTGCAAATTTTAATTCATGAGTTTAATCAATGCTGTTGCACACATGGGTCAAGCACAATCCCAGTGGTACTGCCATTTGAGATCTGTAGCACCTACAGCAAAGTGTATGATCTCTGACACAGCATGACCAAATATATGTGTGATATTAACCTTTCATGGAACAGTCATCTGTTCTTGCCCTGTCTCACCCAGTCACAACTGAAGAGTGCAACCCCTGGTAAGTACTCACTAAACTCTGGGAGTAGCATAATGAAGTGTGTGATTCCCCCCCCCCCCCCATGAACATGTGTGTAGTCACCACAACAAAGTACTTAGCTACTATGACAACATCAGAGAAAAGGAATCATTTTTTTAATGATTAATGGGTTCTGTAGCACTGTAGCACTGTCTTCCCATTCATGGATTTACTCGAGCGGGCACCAGTAATGTCTCCATTGTGAGACTTGTTGTTACTGTTTTTGTCATATTGAATACACCACGGGGAGCTTGCCAGGCTCTGCCAAGTGGGCAGGATACCCTCGGTAGCTTGCCGGACTCTCCAAGAGGGACAGAGGAATAGAACCCGGGTCAGCCGCATGCAAGGCAAACGCCTTACCCACTGTGCTATCGCTCTGGCCCCACCCAAAATAAAAAATTAAATATCAAATACCAGGTGGTGGGTGTGGGTGTGTATATGTGGTGTGTGTGTCTTAAGTGTGAAAGACTTTAAATGACTTTTTAATAGATTATATTAAAAATATTTTATATAAAATATATGCTAATATATATTTTAATATATTATTAACATGGGCTGGAGTGGTAGCACAGTGGTAGGGCATTTGCCTTGCACGCAGCCTGCCTGGCCAAGCCGGGTTCTATTCCTCCACCCCTCTAAGAGAGCCGGGCAAGCTACCTAGAGTATCTCGCCTGCATGGCAAAGCCTGGCAAGCTACCCGTGATGTATTCAATATGCCAAACACAGTAACAAGTCTCACGATGGAGACATTACTGGGCCTGCTCGAGCAAAATCGATGAACAACAGGAGGACAGTGACAGTGACAGTGATTATTAACATCTGGAGAATATTTGAATTTTATTTTCATACTGAGTCTAAAATTATTAGGAGTTGTGCAATTTTTAAAGGCTGAGTAGGAAACATCATTTCCATACATTTATGGCCTGTGGGTTGGGGGTGGGGATGAAACCCACAACCATGCTCTACCACTGAACAACATTTTTGACCCCTTGAGTACCAGGTATCAAATCCACGGTCTAACCCACGTGAGCCACATCTTCAGCCTCACATTAATAGCTTTTATACATTCAAAACTGCTACACATTTTCATTCCCTAGCCACACCCTCTCCCCTTTGTTGTGGCGGTGACTGGGTCACATAAACATCTGGCTGTGGTTCTCTATCTTGCTACATGCCTGAGACCACACATCAGGTGGCAGTATTTGCACACTCAGCCACGATGATTGCCAAGGTGTGCACTGCTTTATTGTGGTTCTTGCACACGAGCTTGTATTGCCCTTCCTGGCTGTGGTGCACATACAGCTTGTAGTGCTGCTGGAAACTGCCAGCAGTACCAGAGCCAGGAGTTTGAACTCAGGACCATGCTTGCAAGGGAGACATTCTAAATCACTAGAATACTCAGTGCTGCATGCAAAGCGTGTGCTCAGCCTGTTGAGCTATCTCAACGGCCCTTTGGTCTGTCTACCTCAGCCACACCTGGCTATATTCAGAGATTCCTTCTGGGGGTCCTTTGGGATGCAGGGGATCTAAACCAGGGTCATTCACATGCAAGAAATGTACCGTAAAGCCCTGTACTATCTTCCCTGAATCATCTTTTCTTTTTCCCTCATGGTGCCATGATTTCAGCCCGGGTCTCCTGCCTAAAAGGCAGGTAGTTACGTGTCTTGCCACTGAGCCACATACAAGCCCTGGAGCACATGCTCTGTAGATATGCTCCCCCCACCAATGAATTTGCCATGAAACCAGGAAAACGCCTGCCTGTGCATCCCCAAAAAACTGACTAAAGGTGAAATATATTATATTCTATTTTTCTGATGCTGGCACTTATCAAACAGAAATGGAAAAACCATGAGAAGGATGACAAATTAATCACTATGTGGGTAGCAACTTTCTCCACCTTTCGTGACCAACAATAAGCAAAATTTCACATTAGGTAAGTCCAAACCAGTTGATTGGTATCTGATGGAAGAATAGATGAAACAAGGTTGGCCAAGAATGGATAATTAATTAGGAAATGAGTACTAAACTCATCTCTCTACTATGGGGGAGAGAAAGACATAACCTGAAAGTTCTAAACATCACTTTTCTGTTATTCCAACAGGAGATTTAGGTAGTTCTTAAAAGAGAATCTAAGATGGTTCACTAAGAATAAGATTTCTTCACAATTTAAAATGCATTAAAATGCACCACAAAAAATGCACCACAATGTATTAAAATGCAGAATGTAACTGAACATTCTTGCAACTTCACCTGATGATTAGTCATTATTTCCAAACCACTGCATGCTCAAGGGAATAATTTCTTAGCCAGTTTTTTCTGTTTGTTTTATGAGGGTGTGGGGGTGGTATTGTTTGTTTTTGAGGGTCCAGACCCAGCGATGCTCAGGGTTTACTCATGGCTCAGACATCACCACTGGTAGGCTCAGGGGACCATATGGGGTGTCGGGGACCAAATCTGGGTGTGCTGCGTGCAAAGCAAGAGTTCTAACTGCTATACTACTGCTCAGGCTTCCCTTCTTTGAATAAAATTAATAGAAAGGGATTAAAGGTCCAAATAAAGCAAACATCATTGTCTCATGGTTACACCAAGACGTGAAATCCCTCTTATGTATCCCCATGGGTATTTTTAGCGTGACTTGCCATGGGCCAGTATTGGCAGGAAGCCAGTAAGCCAGTTTCCTTGCTGGATCCTGGACCCACTGAAATTTCTAATCAGGGATGAGAAGTGATGGGAGGAGAAATATTTTTCCCATCTCAGGGAAAAATCTCAGAGCAATTCATTGACTCTCTCTCCAGCACTAATCCTGCAGAATAATATTCAGATAGGAACTTGGCAGATTATGAGGGTCACATATCGCCACTGGTTGCCTAAGTAAAGAGAAATGGAAGTGGAAAAAGTGTATGGCCTGATTACACTGTCTTATTTTGCAGGTGCTGCTGATAAAACTGGAACTAGAGAAAACCAGGTTGGCTGGGAATTGCTCTGCCCTGGGGAGAAGGGAGGGCCACACCATCTTTTCTCTGCTCTCTATTAAATTTGTTGAGATTTTATTTTGAGAGGATAACCCGGAGGTTCTGATTTTTCCCCTCATACCTCCTTTCCATCTCTATGAATAGAAAAGCTTTGCCTCAGGGCCTGCCTTTAGCTAAGGGAACTGAGCCTTGCCATGGCCATTTTTCTTTTCCTCATACCACAAAAGAAAGGGCTCACCATATTCGATCTGAGTAGTCCATTCAAATGAGCTAATAGTAGGACCATTCACTTGAGCCTCCAGTTCCTCAGGGATCCAAGACATTTAGTCAGCATTCTGAACAACTGGGATCAGGGGCTTCAAAGTTTAAAGTATGTCCTTGAATATTAGCCAACCAGCTCCACATCCAGCCCTGGCCGGGCTTCTCCCTTAATGACCAGAATAAAACTTTTTTATCCCTAGTCTTTGAGGTTCCTAATCTGTCTATTTACAGGCTCTGCTGCCTTGCCTTGTCTCTCCTCAGCTTCTTTCAGTACAGCTGTTTGACCACAGTGATAAAACTACACAGCTGCGCAGTGCTTGATGGTTTTTAGGACACTTTTATATCCATCACCCCATTTGATCTTCAAACAACCCCATGAGAGAGCCCAAACAGAGATTCTTGTAATCCCTAACATTACAGTTAGGTAAATGAATTTCAAATTATAAAACTAGAGAGTGGTTGAAATCATAGAAATATAAAGTGGCAAAGCTAAAAAATAATATTTGCTTTTAGTGTAAATGTGGTCTCTAGAATTCCACAATAATGGGTGAGGGATAATAATTGGACTCTGAAAGAAGACTACAAACCAGAAGTATAAACATGGAAGCTAGTGACTAAGCAAGCAGTCTATTTTTCATAATGACGACTCTCTCTGTCCTTATCCTCCCAGCCAGCTGTGGTGCACCTACAGGGCCAGGGGTCAGCGATTCAAGTCAAGAATGGTAAGAGTCACAGTAGGCTCTCTCTAAGAGAATCTTCTCTTGCTTTATCTTCAAATAATCAATCAATTCCCCAGCCTCTTTTCTCCCTAGCCCCTGAGATACTCTTGGCAGTAGAGTGATTTTCTATTCCATTTTGCCCTCTGCTGGCTGATCCGGTAATTGCTTTCATAAGTCCCATTGCTGTCATTCCCAGCTTATATTTAGAAGCACTAGGAAGTTGAAAAAGGGTTGAGACATTATCTAGACCAGTGGTTTTCAATAACCGGCTTGCTAACTGATGCTGATGCCAATGCACAGAGATTCCCTATCTTTCTGCTTATTTAAAATTTAAATAACTAAAAAAACAATAAAACAAAACGTAAATATTTTGGTAAAGTTTGTGGTGGTGAGGTAAAGTAGTTGTACACATGGAAACCATAAATATTAATATCATTGCAACCATGTTACCTAAACTCTATAATAAAAATGGAAATCACATAAATAACTATATGCTTTTTATTTTATATTCCAATTTCAAACTAAAACACAAAACAGTGTTATAAATATTTTATTTCTTATTAGCATTTCAAAATGTATTTTCTCTGTTTTCACTGGTCCACTAATATAAGAAGGCTTAAAACCACTGATCTTGACTAAGGTCTCTTCAGAAATGGAGATTATATCAAAGTCACCATGGAGTTATATATAGTTTTGAGAAACATTTTCACAGTATAAATTCAAGAATGTAGAACTAGATTTAATTAATTTCTTTTCTGATGGGTCTACACATAATATGTATGGAGAGGGTGTTTTTCCCAGAAAATGGGAATCATGTAATATTTCAGTAAAAATGGAAAAGGGTTTAGTGAGGTTAATCAACACTCATTTAGTATAATTCCTGTATTAAAAGATGGGAAACAGTACCAGAGAGATTGTATAATACCTTAATAAATCATTCTGCCTTGTATTTGCAATATACCATATTTGTCTTTTATTTGGTCCTCACAACAACCCTATGAGGTAGATTTTAGGTCCTTTTTTCCAGAGACAGAATCTAAAGCTCTATGAGACTTAATTAATTAGTCCCAAATTACATTTAAGTATAGAACCTGGTATTCAAAATTATGTCTGTCTCGCTCTTTCCATTACACTACTTTACTTCAATGATGAGTGTACACCACAGTGAATAAAGGATTAGGTTGATTTTCTTCTCCCAAAGAAACATGAACATTCATTAAAGACCTATGCTTTAAAATAACATCCAGTCCCCAAGGCACACAAAGCCTAAAATGCAGGAGCCTTGGGAAGCAACAGACCAGCCAAAATACCAGATGCTTACCAAGTTTCAAGAGGAAGAACTGTGAGAAAGATTAAATGAAGGTTTAAAAAACCTGCTGCCTGAGAACAGCTTCTGATAGCTCAGTGAGTCTGAACTGACTGTACTGAGCTTCCGTAATGATTGACTTAGCCACATCCTGACCTGCCACCAAGATTAACTTAATAGATTCAGATATAATAAATAGGAACATAATGCCCTCGAAACTCAACTGGTCCCACTGGGACTGAGTGCCTTGGAACCAAGAATCTGGAGTGGGTCATGATCACCAGATGCCTAGGGAGGAATGAGACAAACAGAAAATAGTGTTATTTGTAATGTTTAGATTGATAGCATTTATTCTGTGAGCAGAGTGACTTGTTTTGTTCTTGCTGCCACATAACTAGGCTGTTTCCATTCCCTATGGCTTAATCCCCAGTATTAATCTATGCTTATCTTTCATTTTACAGTAAGCAGAGTAAGGGGATCTGGAATGGAAGATGCCAATCTTGAGCCTATTTTCATTGACGGATCACTAACATTTAAAATCTGTCCCACCCACATCTGTTTATCATCTCAAAGAAAGATAACTGCATTTCCCAGAAAGCTGGAAGTTTTCTCTGAGGCAGTGTTCCTGAAACTAGCCAAGGATAGATATTCAAAATGTCATTTTTAAAATAAATAATGGATGGGTTTGAGGAGGTGGAGGGTTTCTTGTTCTTGAACTCCCTCCTCTTATGGTGGGAAGAAGAATCCCTCTCTCTATAGACGAGAGAGTAAAGCCTTCCCAGCCCCCTCTTACATGCAGGCTTCCACTGTCAAATCGAGACAGGGAGGCCATGACTGGGGTAGAATTGAGAACTGGGCAATTTGTCAAGGGATTCTTAGCTCCCAAATTGGCTAGTTCTAGTGTGTTTTGCTGGCCTCAGGCTCATAAAAATCCCTCTCCCTAGGGATCACTGCCTCAGCTGACTCAACCATGAGTCCTAAGTTTCTCCAGAGGCCAATTTGTTTGGTTGCTTGGTTTCCTGGGGATCCAGGGTGGGATCTTTCCAGAGAGGCGGTGTGTGGAGGAACAATTAAAATAAATTTCTTTGGACCAGAGAGAGGACTCTAAAAGAGCTAATGCATGTCCTTTACGTACTGGAGGCATTGGTTTGACCCCTGGCTCTGCGTGGTTCCCTAAAAATTGCCAAAAATTGAGAACCCTTTCCAGCATTGCTGGGTATAACCCCAAAATAAACAACAAAAAAATCTCTTAAAAAGAAGAAAAAAATAGCATTAACCTCTGAAATAGGAAGATAGGAGCCATGGCTGGAGAAATTAAGCAATAGCAAGACCTAGCCTGCCACTCAGTGTCTATATTTAGCCTTTGGACAACTCAAAATAATAAATAGGACAGCATTATCACTCTCCCTTTCCTTTCCAATTCCCAAATCCAACTAAAATTGTTAAAGACCCTTACAGATATAAGGGGTAAGGAAAGGAAGGATTATATCCCAGTGGCCTAAGAGAGGCCTGGTGGCTGCTTTACAATTCAAAACACTTCCAAATGCTTTTCTTAAAGTTCGACCTTCCGGGCTATCCAAGTTACTTTGGGATAGGTATGGGACTTGTATACTGCTTAATATTTCTTATTAATTAATTACTGCCCAGATTATTCTGACATGTACTGAGTGACTGCCCTTCTCTCATACTGAGATCTTTCAGGTGGAGTTCTCAATGACTGGTCTCGCATCACTATGAACCCCAAGGTGTTTAAGCTGCATCCCCGAAGTGGGGAGCTGGAGGTACTGGTGGACGGCACCTACTTCATCTATAGTCAGGTAGAAGTGAGTACGGTCTTAGGCCTAACTCTTCTTATATCCAGAATGCAGATCTGATGCAGGCCACAGAGGGGCACTGTGGAGCCAGTTAGGAGCAGCCAATGACTAACTTCCTGCTTTGGCTACTGGAGGGAATTGAAAGGAGGACAAAAAAAAAAAAAAAAATGGGGCTCATTTGTTTTTCCCTAGTCAGATATCACAGAAAACATGAAAAAATGCTCCTCCCATATCCTGCATCTGATTCCCTCCTACAAGGCCCGATCCTCTCTTGTTTCCAAACAGACCTATAAGTTCTACTGCCAAACTTGAACTCTGTCTCAGTATATTCTTTGAAAGTCAATCACAAGACTGCTGTGAACACCAATCCTTTTATCCAACACCACTAGCTTGGTCATTATAATGAAAAGTGCTCCTGTGAACTTTCTCTCCACCTTACAAAGATTTGACTGTCTCTCCTTCTCCTCCCCTGTGTGTTTCCTCCTTTATGTTTCTTTGTAATTCTTGCTTCCTTTCAGTTGCATTCTCCCTTTACTTCCAGTATTTGGTCTTTGTCCTACCTGGGTCCATTCCCTAGGTCTGCCAGTGACTATCTTCTCCCACTCTATATTATTTTCTATTATTTGCCTATATTTGGGTGACTCTAGAGGTAGAAAGTCCTTGAGGTTGGGGCTTTTGTGAGGCAGACAGTCAGCAACCACCTGGACAAAAGACTATGGAGCCAGCAGATGGGTCCCAAAGGAAGGTTGGCCAGAGAAGGTGGGTTAATGAGCATTCATTTGTAAGGCATCCAGACATCACAGGGTCATTGTAGAAACCAAGAAATAATGTGGCACCTAAATATACTGCTCCCTCCTTAAGACTCTATGGAGAGAACAGTATTTCATAAACTAATTCAAGATAATAGATGAAAATCCCAATTCCTGGGGTGCACCAGAGTGTCATCACAATTTCCTACGGGCGATTTGCTCTAAACTCCATTTGGTGGGTGGATTTAAATGGTTCAGGGTATAAAGGATAAAAAAAGTTAATTTTATGTGCCTAGAAAATAATTTGGAGTGGTCTCAGGCCTTGAACACATGAAAGCTGGGAAAATACCTTGGGAGGAGGCCTTTGGACATAAGTTAGTACTTCCTTCTGTCCATAAAATAGAGATAGGGGGCTGCTTTGCCCTTCAAAATTCTTATCTTATTTGTGATGGACATCTCTCCATCTTTCTGGATCTGTTTTCTCAATCTTCACGTGAGTGAGCCAAGAAACAATGTGAGAATCAGAGAGGAATAAATTAGTTGCAGAGAAGGGATGCTACAAACTGAGAGAACAACTGAGGAAATGGCAAGTTATTACTATGCCCTCTAGGGGAATCAGTGACTTCTACATTTATCAACAAATAGTTATTCTTATCCTTAATGCTTGGAATTGGCAGTAAATGCGTAAACGCTAGTGTCTGTAGCACTGATTGAGCACCTAATATATTCAGTGCATGCCAGGGCCAAGGAGGTCAGGAGGAAGGAGAATGAGGGACAAAAGGGAGATAGAATGTCAAATAAGTTATGGTGCTTCTCAAAGTTTACAACCAGTAGGCTATTGAAGGAATGATTTGCTCAGCTCCCTGAACCTCGTGGAATGGGGACAGTACAGTCTATGTGTCTGTCATCCTGCCTTTCCTGTTGCTAACTAGCACACACACCAATGGCACTGTCCACTTCACAAGGTTCTCTGGCAGCTCATCTGAGAAGTCTTGTCTATTCATCAAAGGGGAGGGCCCCACTCTCTCTTTTCTCTTTTCCCCAATCCCTTCTTGTTGCCTCTCACCTAGGTCTACTACATCAACTTCACTGACTTTGCCAGCTATGAGGTGGTGGTTGATGAGAAGCCCTTCCTGCAGTGTACCCGAAGTATTGAAACAGGAAAGACCAACTACAACACTTGTTACACCGCAGGCGTCTGCCTCCTCAAAGCCCGGCAGAAGATTGCTGTGAAGATGGTGCATGCCGACATCTCGATCAATATGAGCAAGCACACCACCTTCTTTGGGGCCATAAGGCTGGGCGAGGCCCCTGCATCCTAGATTCCCCTGTTTTGCCCCAATCTGTGGCCATAATCCATTCCTTGGGAGCTGGGACTCCTGGAACCTCCAAGTGCTGCTGTGAAGAGAGGTATTTTGGTATTGCAGCTACAGAGAGAAAACCTCCCTCCTTCCTTGTGCTATTTATTCCCCCAGTGACTCCAGGATGACAAGGCTTGCTTGACTTTCCAGAATGGCCTTGAATTCACAGAGAAGTTGATGAGCCTCAAGCTTTACATGAAGCAGAACCTCCTTCCACATCTCCATTTTGACTGGCTTATGGCATGCCTCTTCAGCCCAAGGTTCCTGAGGACAAAACCATCAGGTGTTGCAATAAAATGAGGGTCTAAGGCAGCAGTGAGGAGAAAGCCAAGTATGCAGACTCTGAGGGTCAACACCTGTACCCCAGGGGCCTTCCGCTCCTCTCTTGGGTGAGGGTGAGGGGGAATAAGAGATGGGAGTGTTGCAGCCTAAGAAGAGTGTCCAGGAGGTATGTAAAGGAAAGTGCTTATGACAGAGATAAGGGAAAAAACTACCAAGAGTTGTCCTTGCCAGCAGAAACATCTTCACTGTTCTGCACTATAGCCTTTCAGAGGGCCAGACAGCCCATCCATTCAGGCTAAGAGCCATATCTCAGAAATTTGCTGGGCTTCCTTCAGAGAAAGGAGATTTGGTTTCCTTGGAGCAGCTTCATGGAATGGCCACAACCTTCCTGCTTAAGAACCTGAAGCCTTACTTGGGACCACATGCCTTACATGTTGTTTACAGATGTGATCCACGCTCAGATCACTCCCTGGGCTCCCTTCCCCACTGCTCCCCTTGCCAGCCTGTCTGAATTGTCCAAAGATCCTACCTATGTCTGGGACAAAGCCTGACCTAAGACCTGTGTTTATGTGAGACTATACTACTTTTCAGCTCACCTGGGCACAAAAAAATTTTTATTTACTTAGAACCAAACAATTTTCATCTGGTGGAATTGGTTTTGGGGCCAATGGGATGGAAAGGATGATTTCATAATGTCCTTTAAAGTTTGAATGTTTAGGTCTCTGCCAATAGAGTTTACTGCCATACCCAAATTTTATATAGGACTTGTGGATTGCCAAGGTAGATATTTCCTACCTGACCCAGAAAGGGATATGTCTGGGGGTAAGACTGAGGGGTTTTTTTCAAGTATTCTGCAATTCAGTAATTATCTGAAAGGATAGCAGTCTGTTCCCTATTGATCTGCCTGATTTCACTATGACTTAGAAAACCATTATCAAAGCAGGGGCTCCACTGAATCCAGCTTCGGGCAAACTCAGTGTGTGAGCATTGGGCAGGGCTCTCACCTATAGTCAGACACAAATACCCTTTCTCCTTACTCTAATCTTTCTGCTAATATCTTTCATAGACAAGAATTCTAACCGTCTGGGCTCAGCCTGGCTCAGCCTGGGTGCTAGGTTTAGCTCAAATCTAGGAAGACCAAATTTGTATAGTCTGCTACTTGCTCCTGAAATAAGTTTTCTTTTGAGGAGATAGGTGTGTTCCTCCAGGCAGCTGACATCCACCAAAAACAACAGATAATTTCATAACTCTATTTCCATTTCTGAAAAACTTCACTGCTTGTTCTTTCAAAACTCTGATCACAAAGCAAATGAGGTATGTCACTGTTGTCTGATGGATTACTGATAACATCCTTGCAATACTCAGGGCATAGGTTTAGCCACAACTTCTATAAAGTGAAATAGACAGTCCTCAGTTTTAAAAGGAACTGATGAGGATCCCTCCTTAGTGTTTGAAAAGTATTCTCTCTCTTATCTACATGTAATATTACAAATCCCATTGTTTAGTTTAGGCTCAGTGAGATTAAGTGCTTTGACCAGGATTTCATCCAGCTTAAATCACAGACTTAGGGTTTCCATCAGATCTAATTCCAAAGCTGTTCTATTACACTGAAGAATTGTATTGAATTCATAGTCTAGAGAGAACAAATAAGAATGGTAATATGGATTCAGAATTCTTAAGAAACTCAGATGCTCGTTTTCAGTCCTTGATTGTAATGTCTGTTCTATTGGCTACCAGGACCCTAGGACTAAAAGTAGAGACCAATTCTATTGTAAATTCCCACCAATATTAGAAGAATCCTCTTGGTACCAAGTCTAAGCAGCAGGCCTCCAGTCTCCATAGAACCTAAACCTTTTGTATTCTTTTACTTACTCAATGAATCAATTAATGCTTATATATACAGTTCCTACTGTGGGCAAAGTCCTCAGTATCTGTTCCCACACAACAGAGACCTACTACCAGAATCTTTCAGGGATAGAATAAAGATCTGAAAGAAGATTGGTCTTAAATCCAAATGGTTGTGAAGGAGAGGAAAGAAAAGGCTTCCTAATTGTGTCCTAATATTCCTAATATTCTAATTTTCTGAGAGTCATCCTATTCTCCAGCTGAGAGAAGGATTGAAGAGGAAATAGGATTATTGTGGTACTCTTTATTCTATTGTGAACCCTCAAAAAGAACCATCTGGAGATTGGGGTGACCAAGGAAGCAATAGGTAGCTTGGAAGCTCTGTGGTTGGTCAAGGTACTGGCAAAGTGGTGAAGCAATTTACTGCTAAGAGAATGTGGAAATAGATTTAAAGTGTAGGATTCTGTTGATGTGAGTTGACCAGAGGGCCAGAGCTAACAGGGAGATTGGGACAAGGATATCTGTGAGCCAATAAATGACAAAGGTTTGATAAATTGCATAGCAGAGAGCTTCACTGGCTTAGGATTCAACAGCCGAATGTGGACCAAAAGACAACTTCTGGGGTACTGCTCAGCAACTGTTTCCTTGGAAAATTTAGCCTTTGCCTTATTTTTCCTTCTTCTTGAGGCAAATTTCTTTTACTGAGCGTGAAAAAACTAGGAACCCTGGAGATGAACAGAGACTTTGACCCATATATGAATACCTGTGTTTTATGTAATGTATGGTGTTTCCAAATAGAATCAGAGAAATTTAGAACTAGAAAGGTCCTTAGACAGACTCTAGCCCAGCCTAAATTCTGACACAAGTTATTCATGTGGAGACAAGCACCTTCCCCAGGGAAATGGTTACCTGCTGGAGCAAGTACTGACTTCCGGATCCAGCCCTTGAAATGGTGCAGCAGTCCTTTTCTTCTACCCAAAAACTGGAGAATGAAAGCAATAAAAAGTGCTTGCCACCCCCACCCCTGTCAGCATCCTTGCCAAACAGGAAGAGATTAGCTTCTGCCTTCATCAGAACCTCTTCCAACTCTGTCCTCTGAACTAGTCCGAGATCAAGAAGTCCTGGAGCCTCCCTGTTAATGCCTCAGGCCTCATCCCGGCCAGGTGAACAAAGAAAGAATTTTATTTTTTTTCCTTTTAATCCATTTCAGAGCTCTCTCCAAGAGGAGTTGGGGAGTGTCATTTCTTTATTCAAAAACTTTCCAGATGAGATGGGGTGAGGTGAGCTTACTTATGAAAATGGCCTGCAGCAGGCCCAGTGCTGCTTTGGGGGGTCAGCATCCATGTGAGGTACTGTGTATATAAACTATACATAATGTATATAAACTAGGATGTAAGTTTGTGTAAATTAATGGTCTATTCTTTGCAAATAAAGCTTTTCCCCCATTCTTGAAATTGGCTTGAGCACTTCCTGCAGACTAGGTACTTCTTTCAGAGAAAGACCAATAGAAGGGAGGGAGTCTAAATCTGTCAGAACATCCTGCATCCTCTGTGCCTCCGACCATACACTATCATTCATATAACCTTAGACATTTTCACAGAGCCACATGTTAGATAAACTCAATATTTGCACAATAGGACATTGTCCCTAAACATTGACACACCTTGGAGTAGCCAAAAATTTGAAATTGGTATCTTTGGCAGATATTGTAGTCCTGGATCCAAAACAGCTCAGGAGACACTAACCCAACTTCCTACTGAGGTAGCATCCCACTTAGTAGATGAGGAAACCAATTCTCGAAGAGTTTAATTTGTTCTCCCAAGATCTACTAATTAGTAACTGTTAGCCTGATTTGATTCCAAGTACACCATACTTCCTGCTCTCTCATTTTGCCTTCAGCACTTAACTCCAGGCTCATCCCGATAGAGGATAAATAATGAAGAGGCTCACATGAAGATAACCAAATAACAACTAAGGAGGAGTGCCTCGGCCCAAATAGTTTTTGGCACTTTGCACAGCATTAGTAGCCTTTATGTAAGCCCCTTATATAGGTGGAGATTAGGACACATAAGCAGCAATTTCCCTGTAGTCATCTTTGACAGTTCAGTGCCCAAGAAAGTACCATTTGAACATTGAAGCCCTAACTGGTCCCTTGGATCCCTTATATAGGACACAGATCTGTTTTTAGAGCCTGATGTTACCTTTCTACTTTTTTACACTTTTATTATACATTCATCATTAGTTTACAATATTATGCAATTTCAGGGATTTAATTATGCAATATGTAGGCATATAGTATTCACTGCACATATGACCAAAAAGAACCCTCAATCTATTTCTTTAAAATATCCCCCTTTGCTATGTTTTCACTGAGTCTGTGTTAGATTTTTGCCAGTTCATTTCATCTAATTACTTATTTTCCACTTATAAATGAGACCATCCAGTAGTTATATTTCCATTCCCTCCATATTCCACTTAGCATAATCATCTCAAGTCCTATTTTATCCCAAATAGCACAAATTCCTTCTTTTTTTAACAGTAGAATTGTATTATATAGAGTATATATAACAGAATTACTTTATCTAGCCTATATATGTTTTAAAAAGAAAACCAGTCCTGGGAATCCAGGAGATTGCTTTTAAAAACTCAAAGAAATTGTCAGCTCCAGCACAAGGAAGTATTTGAGAAAGAGGAATGGCAAAAGTATTTTTTGTTCTGCTGTGTACCATGTCATAAAGCAGGAATCCAGGGCAGAGGCAGCAGATCACGCTGTGATCTGATAGAAAAGATTGACAAAGTTGACATGAGTTAATCATTACAACAAAATGGCATCCACTCAGGAGGGATGAACCAAGTAGCTGTGGGACAAATTGTGTAACCTTTCATTTCCAGCAACCATTAAGCCAAGAATATTAGAGATTCAACCATCCACAAGGAAGTGAAGTCTGATCCCGACCCATCTTATTGCAGCATTGGGGCAGAGTATGAACTTAAGTACAACAAGCTGTACTCATTACTAGAACTTTCAAAGGAC